TAAATATTTATATATATTTATATTTTTACATATACATGTACATACGTGTATTTTCATGTCTTCCCAAGAATCTGTTCAGTAGGTACTTGTGTTCCAGAAATGTAAGAAGTGAACAAAAGTATATCTAGATGCTAACACTTGCTTATGCAAATATTTGCCTAGGCTCTGTTTATATATGGACAAGGCAAAAAGACTGAGGCTGTGGCACCAACATTTCACTGAGGTGTCTCTATCACATCCCATGAAGTAAGAGCTACTGACAGCTACATATAAAGGAGAGATTTGCATTTCATACTGCCCTGACAGAGACTCTAATGTATTTTCTTGACTTTTTTTTTTTTAAAAAAAACAACAAGAACAAAATAAGAATGGTTTGTGCTTGCTGCAGAAAACTTATAACCTATTCCTGCTCTGCTTCTGACTTTCTTGTGATCATGGGAAAAGTCACATCATCTCTTTATGCCCCACTTCTGAAATTGTATAATAGGGAATGACAGCACATATGTCACAGCACTCACGTGAGGATAAACTCATTCAAATTTGTGAGCATGACACTCACATAAAGGTATGCTCCCATGTAAGCACATCAAGTAGCCTTTAGCTTAAGGTGTGAAAAGCTCTGCATATTACTGCTACAGCAATCTCAGAATAAAAAAAAAAAAAAAATTAAAAAAGAGGAAAAAGGAAAACATCTGAAACACAGTTAAATTAATTGTCCTTATCTCTGAAAAAAGCAACATCCAACTAGAAAAGGTCTGGAAGAGGAGCAGGTGGTCTGCAAAGTCTCTTCCATTGTACCCCATATGCAAGGTTGACCAAAAAAGAAAAAAAAAGCTGTGGAGATGTGGGGGCGGAATATGTGGAATATGACACACCGATGATTGACAGCAGCATACAAATTCATGTCACACCAAATTGGTACAATTCTTCCATGGACAGCAAAGCTTAAACAAAACTTACACTCAGCAGTATATAAAAAAAAAATTATTATAGTATTAAAATTATTAACATTTATTACCTGACTCTGGATTTCAGGTGGAAGTGGACTAGGAATGACTGATAATCATACAAGTTTTACAGGCTTTAATGTATTCCCAAGTGTTCCTATGGCATGGCTTTAAGGAGGTCAGTATTTTTCAGGCTTGGAGCAAACTGCAACCATATATCTTGGAGTAGTACCTGTTCAGTTGCCCTGACAATGCCTCTGAGAAAAACACTTAACACAAGACAGAGAGCAAGGCAGTGTGCCCTATGGTACCACAGCCTGCTGCAATATTAGCTTTAATCTTTCCTTTTTTTGTGCAACCAGCATAAATATGAGTGTTCCACTCTAATCACAGGCTTGACTTATGGTACTCAAATACTTTTTGGCACCACTGGTATTATACTGGGAGTATTTGTAATACACTGCCAACTGGATTGGGACGTCAGATACAGCTCTAGTTTTATCCAAGCAGAGACCTGGCTGGTAAGGGTGGTCTCTTACTGACTCAGGTGTAGTGACAACCTTATTTTTTTGCTGTACCTTGGATACCATACTTCTCCAGTGCCATGAAACATGAAGACAGATAGCCCATGTAAGCTCTTCCTTCCCACATGTGGCAGGAATATCAGCAAAACATAATCATAGAATCATACAAGTGTTTAGGTTGGAAAAGACCTTTATCAAGTCCAACCTAACACTGCCAAGTCCACCACTAAACCATGTCCTTACAAAAGTGCCACATCCACATGTCTTTTAAGTATCTCCAGGGATGGTGACTCAACCACTTCCCTGGGCAGCCTGTTTCAATGTTAGACAACCCTTTCAGTGAAGAAATTTTTCCTAATATCCAATCTAAACTTCCCCTGCTGCAACTTGAGGCCATTTTGTCTTGTCCTGTTACTTGTTACTTGGGAGAAGAGACTGACACCCACTTTGATACAACCTCTTACAGGTAGTTGTAGAGAGCAATAAAGTCTCTCCTGAGCCTCCAGGCTAAACAATTCCAGTTCCCTCAGTTGCTCCTCATAAGACTTGTGTTCTAGACCTTCATCATCACAGAATCACACAATCAGAGAATCGTCTAGGTTGGAAAAGACCTCAAAGATCATCCAGTCCAACCATTAACCTAACATTGACAATTCCCAACTACAGCATAACCCTAAGTGCTATGTTGACTCTACTCTTAATCACCACCAGGGATGGGGACTCCACCACTGCCCTGGGCAGCCCATTCCAACACCTAACAACCTCTTCTGGAAAGAAATGCTTCTTAATATCTAGTCTAAGATAGATATTATCTTTGTTGCTCTTCTTTGGAAACTCTCCAGCACCTCAATATCTGTCTTGTAGTGAGGGGCCCAAAACTGACCACAGTATTTGAGGTATTGCCTCACCAGTACTGAGTCCAGGAGGATGATCACTCCCCTATTCCTGCTGGCCACACTATTTCTGATACAAGTCAGGATGCTATTGGTGTTGGCCACCTGGGCACACTGATGGCTCATATTCAGTCAGCTGTTGACCAACACCCCCAGGTCCTTTTCCACTGGGCAGTTTTCCAGCCACTCTTCTCCAAGGCTGTAGCATTGCATGGGGTTGTTGTGACCCAAGTGCAGGACCCAGCAGTGAACCTTGTTGAACCAGTGAACCTCAATGGGTCAGCCCATTGTTCCAGCCTGTCCTGAACCCTCTGTAGAGCTTTTCTACCCTCAGGCAGATCAACTATCCTGCCCAACTTGATATCCTCTGCAAACTTACTGAGGGTGCACTCAATCCCCTTGTCTGAATCATTGATAAATATATTAAACAGGACTGTCTGCAATACTGATCCCTGGGGGACACCACTCGTGACCAGCCACCAACAGGATTTAAATCCATTCACCACAACTCTGGGCCCGGCCATCCAGCCCGTTTTTATCCCAGTGAAGAGTACACCTGTCCAAGTCATGAGCAACCAGTTTCTCCAGAATTCTGTGGGAAATGGTGTCAAAGTTTAGGTAGGCAACACCAACAGCCTTTCCCTTATCCACCAGGTGTATTGCCCCGTTGTAGAAGGAGATCAGGTTTGTCAAGCAGGACCTGCCTTTCATAAACCCATGCTGACTGATCACTTGGTTGTCTTGTATGTGCCATGTGATGGCACTGAAGATGTTCTGCTCCATAACCTCCCAGCACTGATTTTAGACTGACAGGCCCATAGTTCCCCAGATCCTCCTTCTGGCCCTTCTTGTAGATGAGCATCACATTTACTAACTTCTAGTCAACTGGGACCTCCTTGGTTAGTTGGGACTGCTGATAAATGGTTGAAAGTGATTTGGTGAGCACTTCTGCCAGCTCCCTCAGTACCCTTGGGTGGATCCCATCTGGTGTCCATAGACTTGTGTGTGTCTAAGTGGTGTAGCAGATCACTAACCATTTCCCCTTGGATTATCGGGGCTTCATTCTGTTCTCAGTCCATGTCTTCCAGCTCAGGGGGCTAGATAACCCAAGAACAACTATTCTAGTAAAGAGTGAGGCAAAGAAGACATTTCAGCATTTTCCTCATCCTGTTACTATGTTTCCCCCCACATCCAATAAAGGATGGAGATTCTCCTCAACCCTCCCTTTTAAAACTGTCTTTTACAGCAGTAGCCAGATTAAATTCTAGTCGGGCTTTGGCCCTTCTAATTTTCTCTGTGCATAACCTTATGACATCCTTATAGTTCTCCTGAGTGCCTGCCCCTTCTTCCAAAGGTCATAAACTCTCATTTTTTTCCTGAGTTCCAGCCAAAGCTCTCTGTTCAGCCAGGCTGGTATTCTTCCTCACCAGCTTGTCTTCTATCACTTGGGGACAGTCTGCTCCTGCACCTTTAAGATTTTTTTCTTGAAGAATATCCAGCCTTCTTAGTCTCCTCTGCCCTTCACGATTGTCTTCCAAGGGACTTTGTCAACCAGGCCCCTAAACAGGCCAAAGTCTGCCCTCCAGAAGTTCAAGGTAGCAGCTCTTTTAATGCCCCTTCTTACTTCTCCAAGAATTGAAAACTATAATTTCATGATCACTATGCCCAAGACAGCCTCCAATCATGACATCACCCACAAGTCCTTCTCTGTTCACAAACAACAGGTCCAGCAGGGCACCTTATCTGGTTGGGTCCCTCACCAACTGTGTCAGGAAATTATCCTCCACATGTTCCAGGAACCTGCTAGACTGTCTCCTCTCTGCTGTATTGTATTTCCAGCAGACATCACATAAGTTGAAGTCCCCCATAAGAACAAAGACTAGCAATTGTGAGACTTCTTCCAGCTGCTTATAAAGTATTTTGCCTGCCTTTTCATCCCGATCAGGTGGTCTATCCACCACGATATCTGCCTTGTTGGCCTTTCCCCATAAACACTCAACCCTATCATCACCATTATTAAGCTCTAGACAATCAAAACACTCCCTCACATACAGGGCTACCCCACTGCCTCTCCTTCTTTGTCTATCCCTTCTGAAAATTTTATAGCCATCCATTGCAGCACTCCAGCTGTGCCTCATCACACCTATGACATCTGAGTAAGTCCAGGTAGGTGACACTCTGCCTGAAGGAAAGCTGTTGGCCATGCTCACACCTTCTCCCTGCCTGTCACTGGGGCCCACAGCTGGGTCTCCAACTACTCCTTGTGTTCCTGGCTCCAGCTAGCTGGGGTGCAGGAGTCTTCTCTGATGGCTCTGCTTTCTATCCCACCAAAAGCATGCCGGATAACTCACCTGTGACACAGTTTGGGTGACAGCGGTGCACACTCTCCTAAGGGCTGGCATGTGGGGCTGTACCTGGTGGTCAGGTCCAAGGATGAGCCTGTCTCTGAGCATGCATATGACAGGCTGAGACACCGCCAGGTAGTTCCCAAAGCGCTCCTCCACTCATTCAAACTCCAGGCAATGAAAAAATGTCCTCCCCCCCCCCGCCCCCCCACCCTGGAAACTCCTCCACTTTGCAGTAAGCCTCCTTAACATGCCTTTATTCTGTGTCAGCCTGCAGACATAAGAGCTGCACTTGCTAGAATAGGTGGACAAAGGAGACTGGAACAGTGACTGTTTAAGGACAGCTTCTCTGAAAGGCGACTCAACAAAGAAAAGAAAAGCCAGATCTTACCTGACAGCAGAGAGCCCCAGAGATGGTGCCTACCCGTTTTTGTAGGTAAGCTCCCTCTATCGCATTCACATACATGCATGCACGGGCACTGGTCCGAGTTTAGAAGTGGAAGAAATTAGAGGTGAAAACCTGTCTAGAGATGGTGCATCTTATACTGGAGGTAGAGAAAGGAAAGGGCATAAGGGTGGGGGAACCTGTTTTGTCTCTTGTTTTGCCTGAGCACTCGGTATTCATCTTCCTCTCATCCTCCTCCCCCACCTCCTCACTTTTTTTCTTCGTTTCTCCCCTCTTATCAACTCCTGGACACCGGGCACACACAAAGCAAAGACTCAGGGTTCCCTAGCTGGAAATCCTGAAGAGCATCTAAACCCTCCTGGGGCTATTTTTCTTTGTAAATTGCTGGAAGTTTGATGAGGCACGTGACAAGGCTTTGTGGAGGGGAAAAAGAAATCCTGATCTTCTTAATTGCTCATTCTCAGGAAACAAAAGACTTAAAGGAGGAATGTACCAGAGGGGGGGGGAAAAAAAAAAAAAAAAAAAAGCTGAGGGTGCATGGGAGAAGATAGGATGTAGGGTGAACAGGTGTTTCACAAAGCTTTCCCATTCAGACTCTGGTCCTTCCTGGTATGCCCAGTACTCCCTGCTCCCCAAAAGCCTCAGGGCAAAGTCCCCATCAACACGATGTAAAACCAGAATGAAAAGACCCATTAAAGGAGAGAACAGAATTGCATGGAAGAGTCAGTCAAGTCCTTTGCCACAGTGAAAGGAAAATTCTGCAAACTTCATTTCCACCCTGTGTTTTTCCTGTCACAAGGTCATGGCTACTAAAACAGTATTTATTTGCAAGTTTGTATAAAGGTAGTTAATATGACTAGTTCCCAGTGTAGTTGCTTGAGCAGAGAGAATCTATAAATCCTGTGTTTTCTGCTAACCTGTGAGCTTTAATTATACAGAGAAGGTATTAAAACTATAAATTCTTCCTTTTCCCCTTGCTCTCTTCTACCCTCTGCAGTAGGGTATGTTCCCATGGCAGCTAAAACCTCACTGACATTCAAAACAGTGCCGTGACAAACACAGCACCTTGGAGTAGCCTTCTACTTTCCTAGATTTAATACAAATTTTTATCCGTTCCTTCATTATACATCTATTTTGGGTTCTTAATGTGGCTGGAATTTTATTAGACTGCACATAATTCACATTTTGTACTTTAATGTGCTTTATATCCTTGGAAACTTGGAAATCTCTTTCCCCCATTTCTAAGAGATATCAGGATGCCTAATAATCCACAGGAATTAACGATTAGGAGAATTAGTGATTATGAGTTGTGTTGGTTTAGGCCCTGCTGGGACCGGAGAGCACATTGCCTTTGCCCCTTCCCCACCCTCAGCCAGTCGGGCTGGCAGTGAGGCACAAACCCTGGTTAAAATAAGAAGAAATTTAATACAACAGAGTGATAGAACAATCTGAACAACAGTATCAATGGTAACAACAATAAACAGCAATAACAGTGAACAAGACAAACGATACACAGAGAAATACTGCAAATGGTCACGGAACAAAGCCAATGCGTGGGTCCCACCACCAAAAAGCCAAAGAGAAAGTAAAATCAAAGTTTCCCACCCCTGGACCTGACATCAGCATGGTATGAATAACCCGGCTGGAGATCCCTTCCCCCTCTCTCGCTGCTGGGGAAACTTAACCCTATCCTAGCCGAACCAGGACAGAGTTCAGCCTTTTTCAGAGAATGGCTCCCAGCCTATTTCCTTCAATTATTAGGAAAACTGAGTTTACATGGGATATGGGATCTGTACTAGTTTTGTCTGACCTTTAATCTTCACTGCTGACCTTGTCTCCTGCAATGATTTCTGACACAGACTCCAGTTACTCTGTCAATGGTAGCCTTCACCACACTGTCCCTTAAAATACGTGAGGATCATGTTTAGAATCATAAATTCTTTATATAAATCCCATTCACAAAATCCTCCAAGGCCCCATTATGCTACTAATCATATTGATGAACACCAGGGCATGGTCCTCTACCCTTACAGAAAAATACCTAAAGAATGGTTTTATGAAGTTTAAGATGAGGCAATGCTTTGAAGAACAAGACACACAAGATTTAGTGCAATCTTCTCATCTTTCCTGGATTTTCACTTCATTGTAAAACCCCAGCATCAGCTTTGTATCACAGTTGGTCTTTTACTGGAATTTCTTTACAGAGCCTTTGCTGATTTATTTACAGGTGTAGATGATATCTTAACTGGAACTTTAATAGAAACACCCTGGGGGAGGCATTTTCCATTATGGAAAGTTTTCTTACACCTTCCAGAAGAGCATCACCATTCCTTTATGAGTTAATTATACCAGTTCCTCAGAAATATTTGTATTTATGTACTCTACAATACTTTTCAGATGCTCAGAGTAAATGAATACAAGATCCTCACTAAAACTCAGTGAGTTCATCTGGCAGAGAAGAAAGTCTCATCCAGGAAGGAATTTACTAGTCTCCCAGGCCATGTATCTTGCATGGAAAGGCAATGCAGTACCTCATCTACTACAATTTACTAACAAGAGCTGAGACAGGGGAAATAAATCAGTACCAAATCCAATACAGGAGACGATGCCTCTTGTGTGTCACTTTTCACTGCTTCCCACAGCAAAACACTTGCCAAGCACAACACCACAAAACTCATTGGAAGCTTGCTAGACAATCGATCAGACAAGAAAGAGTTTACTTTCCCATAATCCTAAAAGAAATTGCTTAATTATATATACTTAATCTATAATTGAAACAAAGCCTTTAAAGCAGCTACAGGACAAAGAACCAGATTAAAGCTTGTTCCTTGAGCTCTGTTTCTATTTCTTTGCAATATTTCCTACTTTATATTAGTTACAGGAAATTAGAAGCCAGACCACCTTCATTTCGAAAGCATAGGGTAAATTTAATTACATTTACAAACCCTAGTCTAGCCATAGTGAATAGCTGTGACAAGCATAATCTTGATTCGTAGATGTATCAATACACTAACAACACAGCAGGTTTGTGGGTCTTTAAACCATACAACAGACCTCTGAGGCATAGCTCCAGGGAACTGGCTGCTTCTTCTAAAAGCACGTTTCATGAGCAAATGCTAACCTTGTAAATTCTCAGCCCCCTACTGCCCACAGTGTTTAGAAGCATTAATTTTTTTCCTTTGTAAAAGACTTTTAAAAAAAAACATATTCCAATGGATTTATTTAAATCATAAGGGCTTGCTTGTAAAGATAAACTTTACACTGAAATCTGAATACACACATAACAGCTGCAAAGAGACTTTTATTTCTATCTGATAAAAGGAAAATACTGACTTCTTAAAAAAAGAGAAGCAAAATGTATTAATGAGATTTTGATATACCACATCACTTTAACATCTGAATTTACATGATTTCTATGGTCTGACAGAGAACACATTCCCAGGCCTTAATACTGTGTCGCAAAGCAAAGCTGCATAGAAACTTTCAGTAGGATGAGTCCTCAGCTACTCAGATTGACACTTGGTCAAATGCTCCTTTAGTATTTTATTTATGCTACTACTTGAATACTCCATCCCTGAATTGCTCTGCATAGTACAACTCAAGGAAGGCCAGTCATGGTAACACCTGGTTGTGGCCTGGAGTTCTCCTACTGCAATGGTCTCCTAAAACACCCAGAGAGCTCAGCGCAGGAGCTAAGATGCAGCAGACAAGACCAAGAGAGTTGGCTAAATAGTAAGTAATATTTACATTTGAAGGGGAGGAATTGAACCGTTCATGTTTGCTAAAGGTCATGAAAGAAGTTTGTGCAGAGCTCAGGAAAAACTCAGATTCAGGACTCTTGAATCCTTGTCCAGAGAGCAGGAATCTCAAGGCATCACACCACTGTTAGGACTGGAAATACAGCTGCTAGAATAAAGGCAACTTAGAAAGCATGAGTGTTTGGCAGCAGCTGTTTCTTTCAAAGAAACACCTCCAAGTACTTAAAGTTTGGTACAATTTAACTTTCACAATTCATTAAAAAAAAAAATTCTAGCTGTGATTTTTAGGTAAATGTGTAGTTTTGAGTCAATGACAAACACAGTGAAGACATTTGCAGTTAACTAATAAAATAATCCAGTTTCACTGCCTGTATAATTTTAATTGCTTTAGCTATGCTACTCTATTGATATGGATTCATTATTTCTTGACAATAATTTTTCTCTTCTTTTTGATGCCAGTCCTAAGAACATGGTAAGAACATAAATAAGTAGGAAACCCACTGTCAGAAACAATCTTGCACACCCATTCCACATCAAAGAACCCAAGACAAATAATTAGTGTTAGAAGCACTCGGGGACTGCCATGAAAATTTCAGGCTTGTGAATAGTATTTCCTTGCCCAACTAAGGACTTCCACATCTAGCCTGAAAGCACAGTTTTCTTACCAAAAAACAGCAAAAGCAATACAAAACATTCCTAATTACTTTTTGGACCCATCTAATTTGTTATTAGGTTATCCACAGGCCCTTCTGAGAAGCCTCACTACCCTGTGTATGTCAAAATTTTCCTGACATTCATATTTTCAGCCCCTTTCATGAGATCTCCAGAAGAAGAGTTTTCAAAAATAGCAGTTGGCTTAAATGCATTTACTGCACCCTGACTATAGAACAATATCACCTTTTCTACATATGTTTTCCTTGCTAGGCGCCTGATGTAACGTATAGGAGCATGCTCAATGGCCAAAGATTCCCTTGAAAGCACTTGCAGAAGGTCACCAAAAGGTAAAAGAGCTAGGAAGTCTTCCTTCCTGAATGTTTAGGAAAAAAACCACAGAATTAGAGACCTAGAGAGGATTTGATTAGAATTTTCAAGAGAAGTATCCTGTATACTTATATAGTACTGTTTTGCCAATTATTAAGCCTAGCATAAAGGACACAGCCAGCATAAAGATGAACCAATAACCAAATTATAATTTGATACAAAAGGGTCAGTACATGGGTGAGCACTGGGGGTACAAACAAGTCAGATTATACATAATTGACATCAATCCCA